CCCAGTCAGAAATGACTGGAAAACCGACGTCGAAACGATATCGAATCGATGCATTTTTGGTTCCATTTTCGAGCCAAGTCGAAAATGAAACCAAAAATGCATCGATTCGATATCGTTTCGACGTTGGTTTTCCAGTCATTTCTGACTGGGGTACTTAGCAATCGTCGCTTTTTAACGCTTGCTTTGCGTTGTGATGAAATGAGCTAGCCAGCTAGCTTCTATTCGCTACATGAAAAGGATAGGGGCGATAGCGAACAGCTTTTTAACGCTGCTTTGCGTGGCGGTGGAGTGGGGGTAAAACGCCAGCTTTTACTCGCTGCGTGAAACTGCGGCTTGACATTGAGAAATTCGCAGTGTTGACGAATAACACGTAAATACTTTTATACGTTGGAGCAAGTAATTACATTAATTACTTTTATTAAAACAATTTTTTATAGGCTATTTCCATTTACAATAAATAATGTATGCCAGTTCGTATGCGCCTTTCCTGGATACGATCCTGAAAAGGATCCAGGCACTTTTAGGCCCGGTTTCACCAACGCGAGTTAATCTAATCGGTCGGTTAACTTTCACGGTGCCAACAGCCGAACATAAAACTGATGCCAAGAAAATAGGTTAATAAAGATCAGTTTTATGTTCGGCTGTTGGCACCGTGAAAGTTAACCGACCGATTAGATTAACTCGCGTTGGTGAAACCGGGCCTTAAGGTGCTATTACATGGAAGCATCGTGCGTCGTGCGTCAAGCGTCAAACGCGCGCGCAGCACCTTTGCGCAGATGTCTAAACGTGCAGATTTCAGCGTCTAACGCTAAAAATGGCTGGCTAGTGGCACGTGGTGGCACGTCGATAAATGCCGTAGAGGTTAAGGTATACACTATTAACATAGAAAATTTATACGTAATCATATTCCGTACAGATATTATTATTTTTGGTAATATTTATTATATAATTCCATGGTTATTTATGGGTATTATATAAACCATGGTTACGTTCTAATATACGCCAATTGCGGAATTACATAATAAATATTACCAAAAATAATAATATCTGTACGGAATATGATTATTCGGCCGCAAATAATAAAATACAAAACAATACCTAATGTCGAACGGTTTCCTACAATTACGTTTAATCCGAGCCGCCTGCGCGGATTCCGCTGGATCCCGCTGGATTCCCGCAATCCTCGGCCTTTCCCTCCGTTCCGTCGCCGCTCGCTTACCCCGTCGATGCCGAATTGAACGAGAGCGCAGCAGTGATCTCAGATTCAGGGTGTCCAGTATAAAATCATGGTGTGTCGCCATCTGCAGGCGTTTCGTAGCCAGAAATCGCCAATTTGATGGTGCAAAATCGCCAGTTTTATAGTCAACATAATAGTGCATATTTACCCAGAATTTAAAATAAATATTACACATTATAATGAAAATAATGATTTATTAATTGGTTAAAACTGATCAAAATATAATAATTTCTTAAGAAAACACATTTTAATTAAAAAAATATTTATTTACGAAGGATATTTCATAAGAAAGCACATTATTTTAATTAAAAGAATATAAACGATTTTTTTTACAAAACCTTGATTTTAGTAATATTCAGATACTTATAAATGAATTTTCAAAATCTTGTAATACTTTACCAAGTGCAATTTCAGTTTCACTCATAATTTTTTCAATGTCATTTAAATTGTAATTAAAATCTTTCAGCATGCTATCGGTTGGTTGAAAATCATAAAATTGATCTTTGTTAACCTATTTTCTTGGCATCAGTTTTATGTTCGGCTGTTGGCACCCTGAAAGTTAACCGACCGATTAGATTAAGGACCAGTTTCACAAACGTTTAACCGCTAACCCATGGTTAACCCAGTGAGAAAGCTAATATCAATTCGATATCGATTCGATATCAATACCATCAGAACATATCGACGCGCATTTAGCGCCTTGGACACATCGACGGATTAAAAAATTTCGATTTCTTTTCGATATACTGCTAAAAGATTTATATTAAAAAATATTGATTTTACAAATTTTATTACTAATTATTATAACAAATTTTTGAAAAATTAGCTTAGTTACGTTCAGAAATATTAATAAACTTAAGTAAAAAATGTTTGAACGACTCTTTCTAAGCGAGAAATAAATGATAGAAAAGATGTCGGATCGATGTCGAATTGATGTCGAATCGATATTGAATATACTTAACCTATGTAAAGATACCTAACCTTCGATTCGATATTATCGGTTCGGGTCGCGGTCCGATTCACGCTCGCAGCGCTGTAAGCATCATTCTGTCTTCGTTGCACATCAAATTATAAACGCAGACAGAACGATGCTTACGAAAGCGCAAAGTAAGACATGAATCGTCGGAAGTGCGCGTATAACATAAAGTTTCTTTCTCGTCGCGTTCGGGAGTGCCGTGTAATTAATCGAACCAAAGACTTTTCAGAGCCCATCTGAGGAACAGGTATTCGTTAAATGTCACACAGAGATTTGGCAGTTTTTGAGGCTTGCAATAAGAATCTATATGCATGCAGCGTCTTACGCTAAGTGCCTGAGATACCGTGTGTCTCAACTTAAGCCAACGGCACACGATACTATTTTTCCTACTGGATTACTTACGAGAGCCAATCAGGATTCAGCTTTGAGTCACCTAATCGAAAACTCTGCATTCTGATTGGCTCTCGTAAGCAATCCAGTAGGAAAAGTAGTATCGTGTGCCGTTGGCTTTACTCGTCGACTCGAAGTGTAGGCGAACTTGACGGAACAGAATACCTTCACATGGGCTTCATTACGGGAGTGTGTAAAATCGCGCGAACGATTTTTGTGTTTTCGCGAGTGTG